CTATTGGCCATTCAACTCTCTATTAGACCAATCAGGTGTCTTAGGCAGTCAAGGTGAAACAGATGCAACATATCTTTACATAATTAAATACATATTCTTACATCATTAAACAAATGCAGCATAAATACAAGTAATACACTTTTACACAGTTAAAGTAATATTCTACAGAATAAACAAATGTAACAAATCCTTGCCTAATTAAAATGATATTCTACAACAGGGAGGAGAGGAGAGAATTGAAGCAAATGTGTCATCCAATTCCCCATTGTATTAAATGAGCCATATGTCCTGGTGGAAATGTGAGATAAGATACTTGAATCAGTTCTTCCAACCCCTGTTCCAAATCCCCTTCTACCTCTCAAAGCACCAAATATGAGTATAACAGGAATTTGGGCATGATGCAATGTTAACACACATTTTCTGTGCAACATGATCCTTAAACCTAAGCTAACTACTTCAAAACTTGTTTGATTGAAGCAACAACCAGTTTTTTTCCAATTAAAAATAGCAACAGCAACAACAACAACAACAACAAAAAATGTAGACCAGGCTGTTCTTAAACTCCCAGAGATCCACCTGCTTCTGCTACCTGAGTGCTGGTGGATTGAAACAGTTAGAGAAGCTTGTGTTCCATATTACATCTACTACAGAAAGTAATAATTGCATAGTTACCTTTTCAGCAGTGTCATAAATACCTGTATAAAGAAACTTAGGGGAAGAAATGCTTAGTTTGGTCCACAGTTTGAATGAATACAGGCCCCCATGGGAGGAAAGGAATTGGGGCAGGCTACCCCGCAGTGGCAGGAGAAGGAAGATGGGTCTCCTCTTCACATTTCAACATGAAGAGAGGAAGGCCAATGCTTATTGCCCACCTGGTAATCTCCAAAGTCAGGAAGGTTGAATATTAGAATTTCTGTTCCTATTTTTCATCAAGCTCATTCCTAATGCTTTGAATATATTCATACTATCTGTGATTTTTAATATACTATATGCACAATGTTAATAGATAAATAGGTACATATATGTTGGGAATATCTGCTCAAAATTTCTTTTTAATGTGAATGTATGCTCAGAAACATTTAGATACTACTGCACAACCCAATTGTTCAGATGTATAAATGAGCATAAGAATCAATACATCCATAATTTGATATAGCTGAATGGCAGGGAGGATCCACATTGGAAAATTCTGGGGTCATGAGATACAATTTGGACAAATCAGTTGAGACTGGATATAAATGGCGCTGAAAGCTAATCTGATTTTTATATTACTATTAGCAATAGAACAGGCATGTACATGTCAAGAATTATACAGACTGACAATGCCAAGTAATGGATCTGAGAATAATTCCCAGGTTACATATTGGTGCAGCATGGAAAATATATGATTGGTTAATACTGCCTTGCCTGGACCCTAAGCAGTAGCAGTCTTGGTGTGCTTGATGTCCTTAGTCCTGTTAATACCTCAGATCCTTAAATATTAGTGGTAGCTATGGTTTAGAAGATTGAGCAACAGGCATACTTAAATAATTTTAAACTACTGACCTTATTTTGTTTACATAAAAGCCACCTACTACCTTATACTTTACAAGTAAAAGAAACCAATATGATGCTGATTTCTATTGCATAGACCAAAACAATTTGACATCCAC